ACCTGAGCCGCCCTGCGAGCCGGCGCGGGCGTCCGGAAAGGGCAGCGCCAGGCTCTCAGGCCCACCCCACCCCGCGCCTCACACACGTGACCCAGATCCGACGCAGAGCCCGCGGGGTCAGCGCTGCCAAGCAGAGTAGAAAAATAAAATAAAACTTAAACGCCCAACGTTACACGAGTTATGGGACATCTGTCTATATGTGAGACGAGGAAGCAGCCATTAAAATCATGTTTTTCTGTAACATTTAATGACATAGGACCTTCTCGTGATATGCTAAATGAAGAAGTCAACACCGAACATGGTACGGTCTCAATCGAGGCAACTGCGTAAGCCCGAGGGAAAAGACGGGGCGCGTCACAGTGACCGCCCCACAAGCGGAGGTCCTCGGGTGTGGAGCTGCACGTTCCCTACTCCAAGCACATGTCACACGAACTCAAAACGAACCCAGAGGCTTTGCCGGAAATAAATGAGAAGATTATCCACGGGCCTGAGAGTCTGCGAACTGGGAACACAGCGAGGCAAAAACTGACAGGTGTTCCAGAAAAGAAGAGTGAAAAGTTCTGAGAGTCAAAAGCACGTCCTTGGGAAGTGCCGGTCCCGCATTCTCAGCGCTAGGGTTGGTCCGGGACCGATGTCCGTCAGGTGTCAGGCAGTCAGGGTGATGGGAGCCAGGCGGATGCAGGCCTGAGCCCTTCCGCAGGTAAGCGGAGGGTTGGCCACCTGGAGGTCCGGATGCAGACCCCGGCGCCGACGCAGGGAGGGAACGTCAGAAAGTTCAGGCTCCCGGATGGTCAGGACAGGGATGGATCTTTCCTCGCGCCTCGCCCTTCATCACGTTAATAATTTTAGCAGTTTGGTTAAAACGACGCCATCACGTGTATTTGGTACCTTTACTCCTTCCTCATACATATTGCTGTCACAACTGAAAAAGTTATTTTTACATTTAGAAGAGTACCTGACATTAAACCGAGTGATACAGCTTAAAGAAAAGTATTAATTCAGAACAACGTTAAGACACTGTTTAGCGTCAGGCAGATTGGCCACGACTAAACAGCAAAGCCAGAATCAGCAAGAGCAGGAGACTCTGTGGAAAACATTCTTTGAAAGGCATTGCTTTTGGAGTGTAAATCATGACTCAGGAAGCTATTCGGTTTCGTGTGTGGGGTCTGGGTTGTGGCTGTTTGCCAGGAGCGGAGTACAAGCACCCGTGGGCATTAGTGCGGGCATCGAGCTCCCAGTACAGGCCAGGCACGGTGCTGGGCACACGGCCTGTCATTTCATGTGACTGTAACAGCCCAGAGAAATTAAATGAGTCCCAAGACGACACAGCTGTTAAAGGAGGTAGAACTCCGACCCAGGTCTACCCAGGGAGAGTCTACACTCCGAGATGTCATCAGGTGTCACGCTCACGCTTCCTTGCCGTCCCCCGCACGTTCGTCCGGCATGCACACACGTACCTGCACCAATAAGGACGCCTAGCGTATCCCTGGTCACCTCGTCTGTGAATCACCACAGATTACTTGACTCGAATACCTCGAAAGCTTCCATACCCGAAAGTAACCACACACGCACCTCTAACATCCTGGGGTTGTTCTTCAATCCGAAATAACGGAGAATGACAATGAACTGGTTATCCCGAGGACATGAGTGTCAGCTCTGAGCTGACCCAGGGAAGGTAAAACCCCCGCCAGCTGCTTACAGGAACCACACAAATAAGCACGGAGAGTGACTTTGGGACTCGTGAAGGAGGAACCATTTTCGGCGTGAGAGGGGTCGTTCTTTTGTTCTTAATTCGTATTATTCTCCTTCCTCTCAAAAGTCTGAACGTTTCCAGTCTTCATAAGGCTGTGTCTGAGGCCGACACGGACACTGTCTGGGCGCCCCCACCATAAAATGAAGATGTGTCGCTTTGCCTTCCACAGCCGGTGGGACGACAGCAACCAGTGTCCTCAGTTTCCCTGTGGCCAGTGAGGAATATAACGTATTATCCAGGCAGCGTCCAGGCAGGAGAAGGGAAGGGGAACCTTTAAAATACGCCTGAAACAGTGAGACCCTGATGGCATCTGCTACAGCCTGTGACTGGCATGCCACGGAAGCTCGAAAATGCCCAGCGGTGACCACGCAGGAAGGCAGGGCAGCAGTCCCCTCCCCACGCTGGGCGGCCGTGAAGCACGAGCGCCCCAGAACCTCCAGGACCAAGCTGCGGTGGGTGAGCCTGGCCCCGTGCCGCGAGCCCCGGGCAAGGCGGACAGCCACACGTGGACGTTCTTGTCCCACAGCCATGCCACACGTGACAGAAAACAAGCGGGCATTTACTGACCGCCTGCTGTGTACAGCGCCCGAGTCCAGGCACGGCCCCGCTGGAGGGCACAGGCGGGGTGAGGCAGCAACGGCGACACACCCGACAGCTACAGAACAGGGCTAGAGATCCTGGGGTCGGCACTGAGTCCGAGGAAGACATCATCTTTCCCGCAGTGCAACGTCTCAGCGAACACTTTTGGAAGGCGGAGCGCAGACCGTGGCCAGAGGACGGCTTAACACGACATGGACGGCGGGGGTCTGCTCCCTTCAGCCTGGAGAGCTTGTTTCGACACCCATTCCCAGACCGCACGCCCAGGGGGTCTGGTGTGAGGTGCAAAACAGTGCAATTCTAACTTCTAAATGCTGCTGCTGCTATGGGTCCAAGGGACACAGTTCCAGTAGCAATGATTTACAGGATTTAGAAAGCAGCAAAGGTGTGTTTAGTGACGAAAACAACGATACAGAGGCATGAAAATGGCACAATTCAGGCAAGGTAAGACGACAGCAAGGCCAGAGCCTGGTCACGACTGAGCTCGGTCGCTTCTTCGCTGACTCTTTTGAGGGTTCGCGACATGCTCTGTGCGGCTCCGGACTCGGGGAACACACCGGAACAGGACAGGTGAGGCGCCTGTTGCCAGGAGAGCACGCGATAAACGAGCCCATGAGGCACAGGCTGTTTCCGGGAGCGGTCAGCCCGGAAGGAAGTAAAATGGGGAGAGGGGGCCGAGCGTGACGAGGTGACCGCTGTATGGAAGGTGGCCTCAGGGAGGTGCCACGAGAGCCGAGTTCCCAAAGATCTGGGGAATGAGAATCCCAGGCCACAGCAGCGACTGGCACAAAGCTGACAAATGATCAAAGGCGGGACATGTGGGTGGGTAAACGGCGCTGTCACATTACAGGCCGTGGTCTCAGCAGACAGGAGGTGGGGCTTGATGTAAATGGAACCGTGACAAACATTTTGCTAATTTATTCACCAGGCTCTGGCCTTGCTGTCGTCTTACCTTGCCTGAATTTTGCCATTTTCATGCCTCTGTATCATTGTTTTCAGCAGACAGGAGGTGGGGCTTGAAATAAATGGAAACCGTGACAAACATTTTGCTAATTTGTTCACCACGAAGGATGAAATCCAGGACTCATTAGCTGTTTACCTTTAGGCAAAGCCTTTCTGAGCCTGCTCCCTAATGATAAAACGGGAGCTACTGATGGACTAGCGTCGAAATGCTCCATCACGCCGGACACGCGGCGACACTGTAAGTGTCGCTCTGTAAGGAACGCAACACTCCTCCCCACGGAAGGGGGCTGTGCCCGTCTTATCCGACCTCCCTGGGTGGCCCTGCTTCCCAGTGACACGGAGCTTCAGCCAGCTCCTCGCAGGTCTCCGCGATCTCGTTTTAGAAAGACGATGACGCCCCTGCCAGCAGGCGAAGGTGCATCCGCACGTGCTTCTCAATGGGCAGCTGAGCGGCGCCGCTGGGGATAAGGATCCGGCCTGAGGTCTCTGCTGGATGCAACGTACCTCCCAAACTGCACAACATGGTATTTTAAAATAAGATGTGGTTCATATGCCATGAAACGCAAGCTCTAACAGCCCTGAGTCTGTGTCTGCCCAGAGCCCGGTGTTCAGGATCTGAGGCTGTGACGTGAAGAGGGTAGAAAACAGATCCACGAGGTCTAGGATGAGACTTTTAGCACAGCTATGCTTGAAGCCCCTGCTACATACAGAATAATTCTACTTGGGGGAGAAAAAAAATCAAAGTGCACAACAAGTCTGGTTGAAAACTATCAATAGTTTTCTTTAGGAAGTTTTTTTTTTTTTTAAGTTTCTTTGGGAATGCTTCTATGTTCATTATTTATTTTCTCATTTTTAGTGCAACGAAATGTTTTGTGTAACAAAAGAGCTGGTCCTTTATGAGATCATAGCATCTCTAAAACCTTCCATTAACCCAATCGACTGTGAAGAGCCACACCCTAAGCAAGCCTCACCACAAGTCAGTGTCGAGAGGTCACGGCCACCGTGTGAGAAGCCGGTCAGTGCGCATCGCCGTTCCATTTCACGCGCACTCATCCACTCAGCAAACGTTTACTCGTGAGTAGTTCATTTCAAATTCTGATAACGGGCAACTAATGAAACTCGTAATTAAAGAGGAAAATGGCCTGATTTCCAACGTCCTCATTGCTCTTTTTTTTCCAACTCTACTTTTAGCACCAAAAACTGGTTATTAATGACATTAGGACTTTGAGTGGCTGAAATATGGGTCATTTTATTAATTAAGAACAGAGGTTTTAGTCCTATTTCCTCAAAATGGCTAATTACTGTATGACATTGATCTCAAAACCTGTGCTAAGAATGGGACCCTGGACTCCAGAACAATCCATTTGTTATAATGACTTACCAGCCTCGGGACTTTGAAGGCAAGGGGGACAGCGACGTGGTTTTCTGTGAGATGATGACTTTTAGAGACACAGGGAAGTTTTACGGTATCTGTAGCTCATCTCAAACAAAATCGCCATAGAAAACCACGCAGCAGAACCCAGGCCTCTGGGCTTTGCGCCTGGTGCTTTGCCGCTGACGTCAGATCAACTCCTTTGCTAATGGTCTCGTGTAAAATGGTGGGAGGCTGTGGGCTGAGCTAAAGACCCCGCTGGGATTACTCTAACGACGTTCAAGAACATCGGCTATTATTTCCTGAGTACTTACTATGTGGACTGTCCTAAGAACTTCACGGGAGGGTGATTCACGCACTTCATCCTCCACGAATCCTGCGGAGCTGTCACTAGTATGCTTGAGGGAAAACGAAAGCACAGGAATGCTAAAACTGTGCGTTAGGTCACATGGCTTAAAAGTGGTGGATCCGGCATTACAGCCTTTCCCCTCCCATCCCAGAGGCTGTGCTCCTAAGCCGAGGCCAGGCTGCCCTGTGGTTCTTCCCTCTGTGCCCTCGTCAAAGCTGTACTTCGGATGGGCTTTGAAAAAGTTATGAATGATCATCAGAGCTTACTTTAGTCGTGCAAAGAGGCCCTGGCCCATAACCAAAGGTCAGTCACCTTCTAGGTAACATGATTTTTTTCAAAATGAATTACAACATTATTCTTTCTTTTTATTGATTTACTTTCTTTTACTGATTTTCACCAATGCCTTAAGGATCATTTCCAGGATTCTGCTACCTAGTTAGGAGTTCATTAGTTGGATCCTTATTCAAAAGGGAACTAGTGGGAAAAACGATCTAATTATAATAATGATGATGATGAAGGATGATGGGGCTAGCAGCAACTAACTGTGACCGAGTCTTCGCCATGAGTTAGGCACTGTCCAAGGGCTTACATACTTTGGTCTATTCTTTCCACATAAGAACCTTACAGCAGGTGCAACCATGATGTGCATTTTACAAACGTGAAGACAGAGGCTTAGAAAGATTAAGGACCCAAGGTCACAGACGGAGCAGTTACAGAGCTCCAACCCAGGTCTAATTCCAGAGTCCACATCTTAATAATTTAGTTATAGCTGAAACTGCCACTTTTAATCTAGCGAAAAAAGACAGATGCTCTGAAAAAGACAGGTGCTCACAACCAACACTGCTGTTTTCCTGGAATTCCCTCTTCCGGCACGTTATCTCCATCCCTCTGAGCCTGACTAAATTCAAACTAGAAAAAGTTAAATAGGCACGACACAGACTCTAAATCAATCACTAAGATCTTAAAACAAAGAGGTACAGTTAATAAAGCAAAGAAGAGAAATAGAGTGATAAAACATACAAGCGAAAGAGAGAGAGAGAGGGAGAGGAAACAAAGAACAGATGGCACCAAGACAAACACCAAGATGGCAAATTTAAACCCGGCCTTATCAATGGTCACATTAAATGTACGTGGTCTAAACAGCCAATGAAAAGGCCAAGTTTATGCCAACAAATTCGATAACTCAGACGAAGTGGACAAATTCCTTGAAGGAAACAAACTCTCAGATATTAATCAAGAAGAAACAGATAATCCACCTAACTCTGCAGCTATGAACTAAATTAAATCCACAGCTACACCTCTAGGCCCAAATGGTTTCCCTGGGGGAATCTAGCAAACATTTACATAAGAAATAGCTGATTCTACATGAACTGCCTCGAAAAAATTTAAGATGAGGGAATATTTGATCGACAAAGCCGGGAATACACTGACGCGAAAACCGGACAAGGAAACGACCGAAGATTAGCCATCATGAATGTAAATGCAAACAAATGCTCGACACTTTAGCAGGTCAAATCCAAAAATATGTAAAAAGGTCATACAGCATCACTAATCGGATGTCTTCTAGGAAAGCAAGGATGGTTTAAGATTTGAAAATTTTAAATCAATAAGTGTAGTTCACCATATTAACAGACTGGAAAAGATAAACATCTCAATATCGATGGAAAAAGCACCTGGCAAAATGCACATTCATTCCTGATAAAAATTCTCAAAAACTAGGAATAGAGGAAAACTTCCTCAAGCTGATAAAGGATATCTTTGAAGACACTAGAGCTAATATCAAATTAACTTTGAAAACTTAAATGCGTACCTTGTAAGATTCTCACCTCAAAAATGAGGTAAGAGTGTCTGTTCTTACCTCTCCTGTTCAAAATGATAATGGATGTTATAGACAATGTTATAGACAGCAAGAAAAAAAAAAAAGAGTAAAAGATCCAGATTAAAAGAGAACAAGTAAAATTGTCTATATTTACCACCTATGTAGAAAATATAAGACTCTACAAAAACATGAAAAATATACATGAGTTTAACAAAGTTGCAGGACATAAGATAAATATACAAAAACCAACTGTACCCTGTAAAAGTATCTATTAAAAACAAATATTAAGTTAAAAGATATTTTAAAAGAACAAACAGAAAAGCCTGTACAATACAGATTTAAAGTGAACAAAAAATACGAAATGTTAAAGTTGATAACACTCATATGTTTGGCATTGGGATACTTTGGTGTTATGCTTAAAATGTTTTTACACTCTTCATTTGCTCCACTGTTTCTTGAGGAAAAATCTTCTGGTCCTCAATTCTTACAAAGTAAATGGAGTCCCAATTAAGAAAAATGCCATATGTCAGAGACATAACTGGCGGCAATTAGGGTTTTGAAATACTATTATTCAAAAAGAGCGTCACCTGTCTTTCATGCAAGTCTGGTTCCCCAGCAGGAGGATTCAGATACTCTTGCAGTAGCAGCTTCAATTAGAGAAGAAAATCTGAGACTAAAGACTGACGTGTACATGAACATTTAAATGTACTGGGATGACCTGGGACAATGCTTTTAATTTAAAATTAAAATTAGAATTTTAAAGATAAATGTGTCCACTTCTTATTATATGCAGGTATAAAGCATACAGTGAACTCAACTCTATGAACTGCCACCTAAATAACTGCATTAAAAAGTCTAAGAAATGCAGAAGACACACGTGCGTACAAACTCACATAAACACATAATCTAAAGAGAGTCTCTTCAGGCCAGCGGTTCCCAAACTTGCTGTTATGCTTTAAAATCCAGATGCCCAGGCCACACTCCAGAAAAATCAAATCAGAATGAGGCAAGCGAGGGAACAGGCAACAGTATTTTTTATAGACCCCAGATGATTCTAACGTACAATAAATTCTGAGAATCACCGTTTTAAGGCAAAGTTTGACAATGCCACCGTTATCAAATTAGTAGCTTAAGCTGGAGCCATTATAGGTCGTTTTAAGTCTCTACCCGCCTGGACTGACTGAATTACCATGGGAAGTGTCTCATGATAACAATCTGCAAAATGCCATCCTTGCGCAGGGACAGAAAGACAGAAGCTGAAGTGCTGGAGACGCTAAAAATATATGATTTAGAGAAAAAAAGGGAGAGAAGTAGTATTCAATTTCCAAACTCCTTAAAATGAAATATGGAGTCACTCTGACGAACCAAGAACAGCCAGCCGGGCACTGAAATCACAGCCCAAAGAGGAGAAACACTCTCTGAGGTCGACGGTCATCTCAGGAAGCGCACTCTCCACACCTGGGACCTTCCGCTCCGGTACACGGCAACCCACCCTCGACCTCAACTCAACAGACAACCCAGAAATGCACAGGAGTCTCAAACAAAGGAGGAGCGTGTTTCCAGACCCGCATGCTGGAAAAGGTAGACGGCCCAGGCCCACCCTGGTGAACGGGCTTCAAGGGTCTGTCAAAGGGCACGAGTCAACAGACGGAATTTGGTTAACGACAGGCCAGTCGCAGCCTCTCCATCTTGTGCCAGTTTTCCCCATGTCTGTGCCCAAACTTGAGATAATTATCCTACTTTTTTTTCTGGCTTCGATGGGGACAGGTATGTATTAGCAGAAGCAGATGGGACATTATGGGGCTAAAGTTTACAACGGATCCGTAAACCTCCTGTTAGAACACCAAAATAGAGTTTCGTGACTTGACTTACCTCATGGCACATATAGGAGCCACCTTTCTTCACTCGGTCTTTCCCAGAAGGGGGCCCTTTCTGTAAAAGAAGAGAACTCGCTAGTACCAACAGCACAGCCGCGCCCCACGCAGTGGGAGAGGGTCCATCTTAGTCACCTCTCCCGTGGTCACCCAAATTGTCCCCGTGCTTTTCCGTCCCGGGCCTTGCGCCTGCACCCAGGCACCCTCCCGAAGGCCCGCCTCTCTCAATCCTACCCATCCTCTAAGGTCCAGCTCCACCTCTAAACCCCTACATCACCTTCTCATGCTGAAAGGCAAATTTATCCGGCATTATAATTATGTTTTTATAAGCCTGCTGTGCAACACCTAATAAATCCTGTGCTGACTGAATGAAGGAATTTGCTTTTTATCTCAGAAAGATTTCAGGTCAGATTTATTGGTATAATCTACATACAGTAAACTTTTTCACCTTTTTAATCCTTTTTAAATGCAGAGTTCTGATGAGTTTCATCAAATGTATAGTCATGTAACCACTACCACAATCGAGACATAAAAACACAGCTTTTTCAAAAAGATGTACATCGTGCGTGCTACGAGACGAGCATGGTTCTAAGTCCTTTGCAAATGTGAACGTGTGCGATCTCCGTAACGAATCCTGAGGCAGGGTAAGCGAGGGCGAGAATGAGGATTCACACCCAGGCAGCCCGGCTCCAGGGTTTGCGAGCTCCCAATTTAGAGACGGGGGGACAGGAAATGGGGCAGCGGCCTGAAGCAGCAGTGGCTAGGTCGGGAGTAACACCTGGAGCCAGAAGCGGCCGGCCGAGCAGTCAGACTGCTTCTTCTGGGGAGGGCTTTGGATCAAAGTGCGATGGAAATGCACATCCTCGACTTTAGTTACCAGGCTAAGAGCCTCAGCATCAGGTAAGCCATGCAGACAGCATCTGCGAGGGACCAACGAGCTCCCACAAACCAGAATCACAGCTGGGAAGTCCGAGGGGGACCAGGATGCTTTGCTTTTCCTTTGTTACGCAAAAAGTCGTCTCATCATCTAGCGACTTGCTCTGTTTCCTGAAATCAAGAGAAAGCAGAACCACCCTCCTGTTTTCCTTTTGTCTTGTCGACCATCTATTGTCAAAGGCCAGACGTAGGGGCAGAAGCTAGAAGACCCACGTCTCCTCCAAGCCTGGTGAACACACTGACCTGCAAATGCCAACAACGTGGGCAGAAGACGTTTCCTAGGCATTTCCAGGTACTCGGGAACTGTCAGAGACCAAGCCACTTGCCAGTCCTCATTCCACGCAGGGCCACAGTTATTTCCACGGCCTCAATGCTTAATGTTAGACTAACAGACTTCTACTGAGTATAAGCGAGCAAGCTATGGATGAGAAAAGCGGCATGCAACAATGACTAACAGCACAGCTTCCCTCCCAGGGACACCTGGACTGTGACAGACACCAAATCAGAGTCTGCTGGGCGAATTTACGGTTCTGTAAAAGGAAGATCACTCGGAAGCTAAGCGGGGTCGGGCCTGGTCAGTACCTGGATGGGAGACCACCTAGGAAGACCAGGTGCTGTAGGCATAAAAAATAAAAAAATAAGAGATTGTAAACTGACGAGGTCTTTGCAATCTGTGAGGTCAACCGAGGGTTGCTCCGCCTAAAAAAAAATAAACATAAAATGCAAATATAAAAGGAAGATCAACCCCAAGGATTCAGTGAGGCAGAAACGACGCCTTTACGACCGTGTGGCTGTCCCGCAGACCGGTGACTCTCTCCGACACGGAATTCTTGCCTCGCACTGCTGCAGGCGGCTCTCTGCGCGCTGGGTTCAACGTCCCGGATGAGTTGAAATTCTGACTGAAGCCTCTCACGGTATCCGCCGTCGCGCAAGACAGAACTCTTTTGTCAAGTCACATCTAAAATGAGGAGCCGATTTGCCAACAGGAGGGAGTGAGAACAAAACACTTCTCTCCCGTCACCCTCTCCAATGAACGAAGCCCATGATCGCTAAACAGCAAGTTACCAGACCAACCAAGGCTCATGACGTCCATGCTGGTGCGTCAGACCACTGTGGCTACGCCGTAGCTTGCAATGTTTACCGCTTCGCCAGCGGCCCTGCTCACGCCTGCGGAATCCTGCCTGGGGCTTCTGTCACGGAGTCGAGCCCTCTCATACTTGGCCTCCTCCCTTCCCGCTGCCTCCTGTACTTCCCAGCGTCACTGTCTTTCCCAGAGAACCCTGCTTCTCGTGAAGTGCCCAAAGTAGGACAGCTTCAGAATGTCATTTTTGCCTCCAGGGATGTCTCAGGCTCTTGCTCCAGGACCCACCTGCTCATCTTTCTGGGGGTCCTGGGCATCCACAGAGCCCTCCTCCAACAGCACGCTGCAAGTGAATCAATTTTTTTCTTATCGGCCTTCTTCACTGTCCAACTTTTTAAATAAACTCATTGATTTACCTTTTGACTGTACATTTATATGTATCTTACCACAGTTTATATGTCTATATCAGTTTTGTATGTATATCAGTTTACATCTTATCAGTTACATATTTAAATATGTACATGTGTGTGTATACATATACATGTGTATACATATATGTGTGTGTATATATATCTGTGATAACATGTAAAACATCAAGGTGCACTGGTGTTATTTTACCAGTTCCAGTGACGTATAAAAAACCTCCCTCTACATCCCTTTAGCCTCTCTGGTTTATAATCTAATTGTATTAAATACTCCCTCTCAATACACACAGAAACACATCAGACAATGTTATAATTTCTGCTTCAACCATCAATAGAAAATGTAGGAGAACGAAAGCCTGCGCACACATCCACATTTTTGCTTCCGGTGTTCTTCCTTCCATCCCGATGTTTAAAGGTTCCTCCTTAAATCGTTTCCGCTCAGTTTAGGGGACTTCCTTTAGCCATCCTTTTAGGTTAGGTCTGCTGGTGACAAATTGTTTCCCTTCCTTTGAGAATGTCTTGATTTCCTCTTACTGCTAAAGAGACAATTCACTGGATAAAGGATTCTGGGTTGGCAGTTGTCTTTCAATACTTAAAAAACATGGTGCCATTTCCTCTGGTCCTCATTAGGGTCTCTGATGAGAAATCCACTGTCATTCACAATGCTTTTTGTTCCCTCTAGGTAAGGTGTCATTTTCTCCGGCTGTTTTCAAGATTTATCTTTGTCTTCGGTTTTCAGAAGTTTAATTATGCTGTGTCATGGAATGGATTTGAGATGATCCTCTTTCGGGTTTGCTTAGCCTCTCGAATCTATAGGTTTAAGTCTTTTCCCAAATTTGGGAAGTTTTCAGCCATTATTTGCGTACTCAGCCCCACCCTCCTTCTCCTCTTCTCCAGGCCCCCCATGACACAAATGCTGGATGATCTTTCGTTATAGTTACATAGGACTCTGAGGCTTTGTTTATTCATGCATTTATTATTTTCTATTTTCTCTCTGTTGATCAGTTTGGATAGTTTCTTTGGTTCTAGTTTCCAGTTTACTGATTTTTTTCCCCTCTGTCCTTTCCATTCTGCTGCTGAGCCCACTCGTAAAGCTTTTATTTTGATTATTCTATTTTTCAGTTCTAAAATTTGCATTTAGTTCTCATTTATATCTTCTACTTTTTTTTCTGAAGCTTTCTATTTTTTTGTTTCAAGCATGTTGATAATGGCTCACTGAAGTACTTTTATCATGGCTGCTCTAAAATCTTTGGTGGGTAATTCTAACATCTGTCACCCCGTGTTAGCATCTATTCAATGTCTTTTTTCATTTAGCTTGGTATCTTCCTGGTTCTTGGTATGATGAGTGATTGTTCAATGGAAACCTGGATTTTAATTATGTTACAAGACTCTAGACGTTACTTAAATATCCCGTTTTAGCTGGCTTTCTGTGACTCACACCGACAGGGGAAAGGTGGAGCCACCTCATTACTGCCAGGAGAGGGGGAAGGAGAAGGCCAAGGTCCCAGCTCAGTCTCCACTGCCACCTCCTCAGGGGCTCTTCTTACTCACTGCTGGGAGGGTGAGCGGTCTGGCTCCCCACGCATTCTCCACAGTAAGGGGTCCTCGTGACTGCTGGACAATGACAAAAGGCCTTCTCTGACACCACCCAGGCAGGGGTGTTACGGAGCCTCCGTACGGCCCCATGCTGGTGGATGTCTACATGTCCCGCTGGGCCTTTGGGGGCGTGGGCGGGGACGCAGCCTGTTCTGTGTAGGGTGGTTACTGCCTCAAAGTTCTCTTCGTTGCTAGACTGTCCCTTTTCTACTTGCTCCTTTAGCTACAGACAGCGGGACTGTCTTGAGACTTTTTGTCTAAATCCATGGGCATTTGTGGGTTGATGGCTTCTTCAGCTCCGAGTCTGAGATACATGGGGCAACGAGAAAATCCACGGAACCCGCTGCCATGTCACTCGTAGGGTCCCAGGGCCCACAACTACTCTGCCTTCTTCTCACCTTTCAGGGGCTTCTCATGTTTCTTTCACATGCAGTGTCCAGCGTTTTAACTGTATTTAGCAGGATGGGGATGGGGAACTGAACATCTACTCTGTTTTCCCAGAACCAGAAGTCAAACCTCCATTACCTTCATTTTTAAAGGACAGTTTTGCTGGATATAAACTCCTTACTTGATAGTTGGATTTTTTCCCCAGCACTTTGAATATATCCACCATCCGGTTTCCACTGTTCCTGATGAGAAACAAGCCGTTCATCACTTCTCATTGTCCTGTATGTGCTAAGGTTTTCTCCTGCTGCTTTCACGATTTTCTCTTTGTCCTTCAACAGTGTGACTGTGATTTATCCAGGTGTGTTTATCCTAGTTGAAGTTCACTGAATTTCTTGGATCTGTAGATAACTGTCATTGAAAGCGGTAAGCATTCGGACCGTTTCTTTAAAATTGTTTTGTTCCTCTCTCTCGCTCCTCTCCGTCTGGGGCTCCTATTCCGTGTTGGAATTACGCTGAAATGCTTCCTATTGTAGCAGAAGACCCTGTTGGTTTGTCTCCAATTTTTTTTTCCCTTTCTGTTCTTTGGTTTGAAAATTTTGATTTAACTTAGCGAGTTCACCGATTCTTCTACGG